TAACAACAAACTATTAAGTAAGGAACTCTGGTGGCATGGTGCGTAAGGCATTTGATTGCTAACCACTTCTGGTTGGTTAGCTGTTCAAACCCAGCAGCTGCTCCACAGAAGGAAGATGGGGCAATCTACTTCGTAAAAATTTACTGGCTTGGAAACCCAATGGGAGTTGCTATGAATCAGAATCGACCTGATGGCATTTCACCCCCAACCCCCAAGTTATTAAGTTAGCTTGCCATTCCTGAGTTGGTGGTGAGGAATACAATTTGGAGACCTGTGAAGGTTGTAAACTTCTTGGATGTTGTGGCTAGAAAGACAGCAAACATTCTTTCTTGGATAATTGAGATTTGACTGTAGATGTACATGCATGTAGTCCCCAGTTTAAGAGGGGGTTTAGTTCGCACGACTGTTGCAAGTTGATTCTGATGTAAGTTGGATAACTCATTTCAAATTAACAAGTGATGATTCTTATGGTGTGAATTGCTGAATAAGATCATGTTCTAGACCTGATTTACAGTGAAGTCTGGGTCCTGATGGCTGTCAGGTGAGCACAGTTCAGTTGTCTTTTATTAGAGTTGAACCATGCCCAACATTTGTCCCTCATGATTCCAAAACTCATTTCATGGTAGACCAGGCTGTAGACTGCTGTATGGCAGTGTTTTGAACATAATCATCTGCGAGTGAACATCTGAGAATGGTAACATTAGCAGATTTGTATGTAGTACATATTACTGACAAGATGTACCAAAAAAACCCTACAACAGGTGATCGTGAGTGCACTTCGTTGTATTTGATGTAACTTGAATATATTGTAAGTTGGGTTCTGCCTGTATATGGGAAGGTTACTGGGTCAGCTTGTTTGTAACTTTCCTTGAGCTGATACTCACCCATTGCTGTCCACTGGTAGTGACCTTTTAAGATGGAGTAAAACTGCATCATGTGATTTTTAAGGCTGTAGATTTTTCCACAAGCATACTGCTATACTTTTCACCTCCTGAGGCTGGTGGGTTCAAACTGCCGACCTTTTATTTAGCAGCTGAGTGCTTAAACACTGTACCACCAGGGCTCCTTGAGCTGATGTTAGATAGATGTATTTGTTAGATTATTGACATTTTCATTATATCTGACCAATTGAGCCTTTAAAAAAAAGTGTATACTTAAGTACTGATTTCTTCTACGTTAATGACTTTGATCATGTCTCCTGTTGTACATCAATTTTTGAGCTGTTCTTTTTCTCCAGTATTCAAGGAGTTTTAGGTGTCAGCACTGTATACATTTTGCACCAGTTTTATTTGCATTACTGCATAACCTCTAGCCAAATTACTGCAACAAGAAAAGAAAAATATTTCATGAGGGAAATAAAAGATAAATATCATTAAGTATAAATATACCACTCAAAATATGAAAGCTAGTCTTGGGAGTGACTATCAGTTCAAAATAAAATGATTTTTAAAAACCAGACTCTCTGCGTTCGAGTCACTTTGACTCATAGCAACCCCTCCTTGGGTTTCCAAGGTGGTATCTCTACAGAGGTAGATTGGCCAGTCTTCCTGCTGAGGACTGGCTGGTGAGTTTGAACCACCAGCCTTCTGGTTAGCAGTCAGATGCCTTAGGGACTATGCCACCAGAGCTCCCGAAGAGATTTAAAATTAGTAAATTTAAAATTCTCTCAGTTATGGGCATTAAAGAATTCAGATCAATTTAGCCACTTGTGGTGTCTTCTGTAAACTATGGTTGCTGTCCATAAAAGTTTATTAACACTGTACTGGAAGAAGATCCCAATCGTCTTTGCTGACAAGAAATTTGAAGTCTCATTAGGAATGTGTGCTATCATTCTCGTTACAGTATTATTTAACCATGTAATGAAATGAGTACAGACAACACTAAATAGAATAGTGGAAGAAGTAAACCAAAAGCGTATATAACATTTCTTTTTGAAATACAGCTGTTAAGAAGCATGTTTTCCATGTTTAAGTACATTAAGTGTGCCTTAAGGTTAAATGTGTTTATTTTTTGTAACTACATTTCAGTAAAGGCAAAAGAGTTATTGAGCTTTTTAAGAAGCAGAGTATAAACAGTGGGTACAAAGCGAATACTTTTTATGCCAATTCTGGGCTGGACTGTAGTGCCGAAGTGGGTAGTTGGGAAAAGCACTCCTCTCTGGTGATCATAATGTGTTCCCAGTGGTCATGCTGCCCCACCTTTAAAAAAGTCTCTGTGTTTAAAATACACTGTTTTAATTTTTAATAATGTCCTTATTCTGAGATTGATCACTAGTCAGTTTTCTTCGTACCTTTGTAATTTATTTTTCATTTGTTATTTACTCATAAGGATGTACTGCATGTAGCAGGATACTTAAAAAAGTGAAGGTTTTGTTGTGGTAGAACTGTTTAGTCATATGTCAACAAGGATGGAAAATACTTTTTCTAATGAATCGAGGAAAATGGAACGTTCCAAAAGTGACCTTTAGATGCATGTTTAGAAATGATACGTTAGCACATCAGACCTTGATTTTGAGAGATTGTTTTGCAGAAATGAAAATGCTTTGTTTTTCTTTGAAACAGAATTAATGTCACAGAGGAAATTTGAGGAAATCAAGAAGGCTAATCAAGCTGCAGCCAAAAAACTTGTTGAAGAACACTTTAACTCCTCATCTGAAGACGAGGGAGATGATGATTTTGAAGGAAAACAGGGAAAAATAGTTGCTAATACGTTTATAACGTACACTACTCAGACAGGTACTTGTCTTTTAAATTTTGCTATTTCAGGCATCTATGAAAATATATTCCTTATAGTTTTTTGTAATGTCTTTATGTGGAATGGTTTTTACATCAATTATGAGCATTTTGTCTTGTGGAGTTGAATGTTTGTGTGTTTTTTGTTGAGTTAAATACTGTGTAACACTGATGTCTCTATAAGGTCAATCAGGTGGCATCGGGGCTTTTTCACAGCCCAAGCGTTGTCCATGTGTGCTTAATGGACATTTCATTAGAATGCTGTGAGGGGATGCCAACTCCCTGAGAGAGGGGTCAGTTCAAGGAGTTCCTTGAGGTTGGATTGGGATTTGGTTGGAGTACAGGACTTTGTATACCCCTTTCAAACTATTCTTTTTTTTATTTTTCATCATGTTAAATGTGTTTTGAAGTCACCTTTATTTGACTTTATTTATCTTACGTCTAATTTGCAACTTATGATTTTCATACAACAAAACTAAGTTTCCTCAGAGTTTTGGTTCTCTAGTGCTCCTCTCACAGAAAATATCACAAATGGGTCGCTTTAACAAACAAGGATTTATTCTCTTACAGTTTAGGAGGCTAGAAGTCCAGGTTCACAGTGCCAGCTCTAGGGGCTGGGTGAAAGTCCCTCAACCTTGGGCTTCAGCTCTGCCTCTTGCCTCTGGCCCACTGGAGATGGAGGTGTCCCTTAATTCAGACAGGTGCTGGCTGCTCAGGCTGATGAACCCAAGGTTGACAAGACAAATAGCACAGTCTCAAGATATCAAGCAACATGGGGGGCTACTAGTTTAAGTCCAGAAACAGTCTTCAGATTAGCAGACCACATGGCAGGCCACTGAGGTGAAGACTCGACCAGATGCAGGATCCAGATATACCAAAAAGCTCAAGACCTTTCTTAAAGTGTCTTCTAATTTACTGGAAGCAGACTATCCCTAAGGCAGCTACTTAGCTACTCGCAGTAGAGTCCACCATGGAGTTGATTGCCAGTCTCATCATGGGGAATAACTACATCCAGCTGCCCAGCCACTCAAAATCAGGCCCAACCAAGTTTACACATAACCTTAACTGCCATGCTCAGGTTGAAGTATACAAACATAATCTGTTCTGTATATTTGGATTGCTGTGAAAGTCAGGGTTCTCACTGACTACAATTTAGTTCTAAGTGTAAGAATAGATTATTTGAAATGTAAATGCTTTTAAATTTTCCATATCTTATAAAGTCATTATTAGAAACATTTTTACATGTATTATCAACATATATCAACATATTTATATATCCCTGTTGTATACTTTTCTCTGTAATGTGTATTGATATTCTTGATTCATTATTTTTTTTTTAAACTTACTATCATTTTAGAACTAGAAGAAACTTTAAACATTTTCTAGGAAACAATTCTACAGAGGAGAAGCAACTTTTAGTAAATGGCTGAGCTGAGTCTAAGCCTTAGCTTTTGGGCCATTACTGGTCTGATTGCATTTTCTGTGTGAAAGCAAAAAAAAAACCATGAATTTGCATAGATTGTCCCTCTTTTTAGTTACCTATTTATGGGAGAAAGGGAGTGTTGTAAAGTGATTAAGAGTATTAACTCTGAAGCCTTATTATCAGGATGTGGATTTTGGAAGGTTGGGCAATCTACTTCAGTAGTGATACTGCCTGGGAAACGCAAGGAGGGGTCACTGTGAGTTGGATCCAACTCCATGGCAGTGAAATTTGATGTTTTTTAATTTACTTGCTCTGTGACCTTGGGAATGTTAAATGTTATTTAACATCTTGGATCTCAGTCTCTTCCACCTGTAAAATTAGTATGTTGTTGTTATTTTCCGTCAACTCGGCCCTGACTCATAGCGACCCCTCCTTGGGTTTCTGAGGCAGTATCACTACGGAAGTAGGATCGCCCAGCCTTCCTTCCAAGGAGTGGCTGGTGGGCTTGAACCACCAGCCTTCTGGTTAGCAGTCAAGTGCCTTAGGCACCATGCTACCACAGCTCCTGTAAAATTAGTATAGTGATGGTAAATACCCTAGAATTGTTTGGATTAAATGAGTCACTATATATAAAGTGCTTGTGGTAGTGTCTGTCATATACTATATGCTAGATAATGGTTTGCTGTAATTTTTAATATAAAGACTTACTTTGTACTATAGCTTCATCTATCCCTTTTGCCTTTTGAAAAATATTTCTCTCTTCTTTCTTTATCTTGTCTTTCCTTTGAGTTGATCATAAGCCGCTGATACCACATCTGTTACTCACTTTTGCTACTTTCTACTAATGTAATTTTTAGTTATTGTTTTGGGCTTTTTTGAGAATTGTTAGGCATGTGATATCAGGATTCAGAAGTGTTGGTACAACAGAATCAGAAGTATGGCAGAGTTTGAGCATGAGTTGGAATAAAGGCAGTTTAAGAGCCTGAAAGTCAAGTATTCATGTACAATTCATGTAGTTCACCTCTCCCCCTCCCTCCTCTCCCTAGAACCTTGGTAATGATTAATTTCCTGAGTATACAGATGAGATCATGAAGGGTAAGTACACATAATCAAGGAGGTTTTTAAGGAATTTACCGTCTCTGCTAAGGAAATAACCAGTTGCTGTCAGTTGATTCCTGTTCATAGCCACTTCAGGTGTCCAACTAGAACTGTGCTCCATAGCATTTCCAGTGACTGATTTTTCAAAAATGTATCTCCAGGCCTTTCTGAGGCTTGGGTTGACTTGAATCTCCAACCTTTCAATTAGCAGCTAGGTGTTAACTGTTTTCTGGTTCATGGACACACCAATTTCTATTAAAGATAACTCATTTCTTCTCTTATTTTCTTTATCTTATTTAGTTCCACCAAAATTTTCCCTGTCATCAAGCCAGAAACCTGGGAGCAAGGATGGCAGAGTCATGGATGAGTGTTGTTATTCACCACAGTTCTACTCTCTGCCTGTGTTCTACATCTTACTAAACAGGGCACTTTTTCTTTCTGAATATTTGCATAGCCTGATTATCCTTAAGTCCTGCTGAGTTTCTCTTTAAATTTCTTAAAGGCACCCCTTCCACCCTAACTTACTATTAATTGCCTTAGTTCAGGCCCCTATAAACTGTTTCATATGTGAATTTAGTCCAAATAAGAACTGAAGTGTAGATAGTATTACTATTTTACAGATGAGAAAAATTATGCAAATTAGGTAACTTATTTAAGATCAGTTTTGTTTTATGTACTCTGCTTCTGAACTGGTACTTCCTGCTTCCAGTTTTGGCCTCATGTTCATTTTTCTTCAGTTGCCAGAGTGTTTTCAGATATCATGCTATCCATTGTGACGTGCTGGGTACTACACTTTATTACTGCAGCGAAACTTTAATACCGCTTTCAAAGAAATCTGACACCAATTTTGTACATACAAGATTAGACTTAATTTTGTTAAAAAAATTTTTATTCCATCTTGTCCTTAAATTCAGTTTTATATGAATTAGCTGATAAATTAGATGAAATTGAAAATGTTATGTATTTGTTAAAACCAACTATGTTGAAAAGCAAAATAAATGCATAATATGATAAGTCTACTTTTAGGGATATTTAAAAGTGCCAGTGTTTATTTGAGGAAAAGCAATTGTCTTTTATAATATTTGATAGTTTTGGCAGTGTTTTTACATGTATTTTGCTTAGTATTCTAAATTACACTTACATTTATATAATGGTAGGAAGGAAGATTGGGCAATCTACTTCTAGTGATTCTGCCTTAGAAACCCAAGAAGAGGTTGCTATGAGTCAGCTTCGACTCGATGGCAGTGAGTTTGTTTTTTTTTAATATTTACCTAGGTGATTTCAGAAAGTAAAAATTATCAAAGTGTCCTATTTATTTAATTTTTCTTTTTGGCAACTTTAACCAGTTTATTGCCTCGGTAAGTTCTGTATGTAGTTTATACTCTTGGTCCATTTTTCTTGGAAACTCAGTCAGTCTTTATTATGCAGTCTTGAGAGCTCCTTGTGCTGAAGGCAGATAGGTTTATTCCTCTTATATTCAATTGACTCCAGCTGCTGTCCTTTTGGAGGAGCTGTGGTGGTGTAGTGCCTAAGTCATTTGACTACTAACCAGAAGGCTAGCAGTTCAAATCCACCAGCCACTCCTC